CTCTCTTCCTCCTCCACTCCTCTCCTCCTCCACTCTCCCTCTTCATGTCATCTCCCTTCCTCTCCCTCCTCCTGTCCTCACTTGGTCCAACTCCACTCGTCCTGTCTTGCTAGTCGCATGCTGATGGAAACATAAAGGTGGCGCAGGCGGGAGAGAGGGGAAGCACTTCTTGTGTCTTTTGCTCGCATGCGATCAACAATGGCAGCGAATTGCGGCGACTCACCTGCTCCTGCCTGGCACATCAGCTCTGTCTCCAGGTCGCCTCCTCCTCCTCATCATCATCCCCCACCACTACCAACAACAACAGCAACAACAACTCTGAAATCCACCTCCTCGCTATCCTCATGCCAATTCCCCTCCTGTTCTCCCATCCCCTCAGCTCCGCCTCTCCTCCTCCTCCTGCTCGTCTCATTGTCACAAACAAACGAGCTACTGACCTGTCAAACAGTCCCAGCTGATCTTGGACCCTTCCCTTTGCTGTCCCTCCTGCTCCCTCCCCTCTTTCCCGGTCTTGCCCCTGGGGTAAGGCAGGCGCAGCTGCTGCAGCCAATCGAGATGACGGCCGTACAGGGGGCGAGGGATCAGAGCAGGACGAGGAGGAGGAGGGTGAGCGACAAGGTGAGCGGTGAGGAGGAGACGTCGAGTAATGATGAGCAGCAGACGAGCAAGGCTGGGCAGGCGCAGGAGGAGGAGGCAGCGGAGCTCTCATTTGCAGTTACCGGCAAGTGTCTGTCAGGAGGAAACGTCGAGATGATGGCGAGCAACCAACATGCGGGAATGGAAGGAGGAGGAGAAGGAGGAGGAGGAGGAGCGGCAGCGGCAGCAGCTTCCTCCTCTGCAGCTGCTGCTCTTCCCCCTCATCCTCACGGCAGGTCGAGCCTCGCGCTCACCATGCAGGTCAGAGGTCAGGCCGCGGATTCAGCTGCTCACCTCGTCCCTGGCAGAGACTACGGAAAGGAACGCGATCGGCTCCCGTGCTGGGGGGCAGCACGAGGACGAGCAGCTTGGAAGCAAGGGAAGGGGGAGGGAGCATAGTGACTCACGGCCGATCGCTCGGAAGATCAAACGGAGGAGACGAAGAAGCGCTCGCGTACTCCTGTATCCTACCTCCTGCTCTGCTCTCCTGCTCTCTCCTACTGACTCTGCTGTGCAGCTGTTGCTACCGGCTCCTCCTCAGCTGTCGATCGCCTGGCTGTCCGAACGTTGGTGCCTCTTCGCTCTCGAGCTCCTCGCTGACTCGTTGAGCAGCCGCCCAGCAGCAAGAGGCGACGCGAGAGGAAGACCTGCGCCCAGCAGCCCCCTAGCTGAGGGTCACGTGGCCTCCGGTCCCCTTCAGGAGCTGAGCGGCACGACCCTGTCACGGGCGCGGCTTCAGCTGGGGAGTCAGGCGGGGGCGACGCCAGCTGGCCCGCAGTTGCCGGACATCTCAGAGAGGGGGGGGAGGCGACGGCTGGAGGTGCGAAGGAGGGGAGGGAGTGAGGCTGCTGCCTCGAGGATGGGGCTGACGGTAAGCGAGGAGGAGGAGGAGGAGGGAGGGAGGAGGGGGAGGCGAGATGGGGAGCAGAAGTTGAGGAGAGAGGAAGGGAAGAAGAGCAGGGGCAGGAGGAGGAGCGAGGGCAGGAGGAAGTAAGTTGGGCCCTGCAGGTAAACGGACGGGAGGCGGAGGAGGAGGTGGCGATTGCTCCAAAGGTTCTGGAGAAACATCTGAGGAGACGAGGAACGCGCGCCTTCCTGCGACCTCTGCGACCCCCCACATCAGTCGAGTACGAGCTGACCTTGTCCTAGCTCGCGGGAAGATGAGGGAGAGGATGGACTTGTAACATGAGAATCTTTTATCATGTGGGTTTAAAACAGTCTTAACTTGCCAGCACCTCCCTCTCCCTCCCCTCCCTCCCTCCCTTACTCCCTCCTCTCCCTCCCTCCCTCCCTCACTCCCTCCCTCCCTCCCTCACTCACTCACTCACTCACTCCCTCCTCTCTCCCCACTTTTCCCCCTTGTCAATTTTGATGTCAGTTGAAGGCCCTGACTCCAAGTCCCACCTGCAGTCCTTCCCTCCTCCCTTCTCGCCCTCCTTCACTTCTTCTTCCGCCACCTTCTATTCCCCTCCCTCTCCTCCTCTCCCTCCC